TCTTTGTACGTGGGCACAAACATATTCCCCCTCCTACAACTTACATGCCATAAGAGACTTGACCACTTCATAACATTCTTTCCTAGCCGCCTTTGGAAAATTTTCAGCAAGGTCAAGGCACACTCATAGGGCCAGTAGTCATCATAGAACTTCTGGAGTTCTGGCGTCGTGGTGGCAACCATGATGCAATCAAATTTGGTAGCGTCATTAGAATACTTGTTGAAAGCAACTATTTCTTCAGGAGTAGAAATGGATTGATCGATTTCAACAAGAGTTTTTTCGAGAGTTATTCCTTGTTCTCGTATTGAAGAGTCATCTTCAGATTCCTCATCCACTCCATATAGTTTGGACTAGTGACCTATTCTTTTGACATAATCGATAAGAGAGTGAATTTGGAGCTTTAGGTTAAGTTTTGAGTAGCAGCAACAGAGCCACTGTTTCCAAATATCTATAATAAGAAATAAATAGTTTTAGTTAGTTGATATAAATCCTTAACATTTTAACTCAAATTAATATTCAAGGCTAGGATCCACAATACAATTCAGAATTATGAAGAGAGATGTCGTAATCTAATTGCAAATTTATCAAGGTAGGTAAAACAATTCACCAATTTCAATCTAATATAAAATTCCTAAAGCATTTGAGATTCATTGAGTCATATCAATGATATGTTTAATCTCAAATTATGCTCTTCATTTGTGATTGTGATATCGGCGATCACAAATAAGATGTGAATAAATATGCAAACCAACTTGACAACATCATTTATCATCTTAAATTAATGTACCGATAAACCACACACGCTCCATAATAATAATAATTTACGATTTGTACCACCATTCGACTTTATAGTCCCAAATTAATATGCCGCTTAAGCCCACACGCACCACTAACGACTAATAAAAAATGATGTGCGTTTTCATGAATCAGCATACATTTCACATTTTTCCTAAAGTAACTAGAGTGAGATTTTTAAAAGATTGTATTACTTTATATCATTATACTTTTAATCAAAATATGTCCTATCAAACCCATTCGGATAACGACCCTCCACCACACAAGAGATCAGTCGGTGAAAATGACATACATTCAATGATCATTTTATAGGTCGTTTCTCTATACCCTCTTTACAACATGGTTTCGTAAATGAGACCTACTATTGATTCGACTGATTTTTCTTATATATATAGTAATTAATTTTATAATACATATATAAGGGTGTATTTTAAATATTTAAAAAATTCAAGGTCTAAAATTAATTATCTAGATTAATTGATTATTTAATTAAACATTTAAACATTTAAAATTAATTATTTAACCAATTAATTAATTAATCATTTAAATCATTTATGGATTTAATATTTATCTTTTAATTAATCATTTAATTAAGTTAAGTATAAGATCCATAGGGATAATATTAATTAAACTCATAATAATTCATTATCTAGTCAACGGTTATCTCATAATATTTAGGGATTTTATTTAATCATCCACAACAGCAAAATCGAATTTAAGCAGATATCTAAGCAGATAATTACCAAATAACAATCACATAAATCAACTTAGGCAAGAAATCACAGAATTTTAGATCTGGTCCATGTTTACGTCGTGAACTCTATTTTGCGAAAAAAATTGTTCAATTGAATTAATGCGCGATCAATGGAATACATACCAATTAACTCTGATACTATTTATGAGTTTATTAGATTATAACAAAATGCTCAAGTGGAAAATTACTTAACAATTAAGATTGGGCACATGCAACCTAATAGGATCTATATCTTCACATTAAGGCAACATACTTTAAATAACAAAACCTATGATGAACCATAGTAATTTCGAGAATCACAAAGTATATTTATATACCTTAAACTTGTTATAGCAAACAAGTTAGTTGATTCCTTCCTTGTAGAATTGAGAAACGATCACAAAGTAGTGTCTCGAATGGTTTGTACCTAAACCCTAGCAACAAAAACATAAGAGGATAGAGGAGAGTGGTGTGGAAATTCAGCTCTTCTAATGGAGTACCTGGTGGACGAAATCAAGGCATCTAACGGGTCCTATTTATACATGATAAGATAACCCTGTAAATCATAATCCTGAATAAAATAATATTATTTTAATTTCGGGTGGTTATCCAGTTTCCATATCTTAGAATGAATATTCCAGACGCCCTTTTAGCATCTCCAAAAGTGTTTACCCTAGTGGAAGGTTATGAAATTCCTTGCTTTTGAAATATTAAACAATTATAGTACAATACTTATACAATTAATTAATTCTAATTAACGCAAAATTAAATCCTAATTAATTCTGATTAATTCTTAATTAATTATTACTATTTCAAATTAATATATTAATCATATAATATATTAATAAATCAATTTTTCTTTCTAAATGTTATTGTATTCAGTTACTAGTTATGAGGACAAACCAAAACAGATTTTGCTTCTAATTGCAAGTTATACTAATTTAGTTATGAATTTAAACACATTAATCCAACAATATGTTGTATTTTGGAAACTTGTTAACCTTTATGTTTACGATTAAGTTTAAATATTTCAGTTTATTCTAGTAGTAATGAGAATAGTATGACGTGCTTGCATGACATCCTTAGATATGTTTTGAGACTTCCATACTTTTTTTATATTATTTGGATACTCTGAATGTTGTTTCGAACCAAATAGTGTTTATTTGATCTTTGAGAATGATATTTGAAAAAATGTTTTTGATATTAAATGAAAATTTTATCGTGAAATTTGGAACACCTCAATTTGATATCGTTGGCTTGGTTTGAATGATTCAGACTAGCATTAGGTGCGTTTAAACTTAAACCTAATACTTTGAGAATCAAAAACTCAAAATCCAATTTCTTTTTCTTATGAATCTGAAACTTAAATATATGCTTTTGTTTTAAATATATTTTTGATTGTGACATAAATTTAATCCAAAATTAAATTAATATAATCCAAAGTTCTAAAATTTATAAATATGATCGAATATACAATTATTTAAAAGTTGGATAATTTCCTATGTTTTTCAATACTATATGATAATTATTATGATTACGTTATACAAAACATAACATAACTATACTTTTGAAATCATATAATTCTTTTATAAGATAAGTCTATTAAATAATAAGAAAAAATATAATATCAAAAGAAAAAAAAAAAAATCTTATAATCCACATAAGCCGGTCAGAATCTTTACAAGACCATTCCTCCTCCATATCAAATGACACATCAACAGTCCCGAGTCCCAAGTCCCAACCTATCTCCAAAATATCTTCGCAACTGGGCCCCACAATCTTCACCTTCCACCACACAAAATTTTGTTTTTCAAAACAACTCGATGAAATCATGAAACCCCCTCTTGTTTCTCCAGCCGCATGACACGTGGCATTGCCTCTCTCCCATTATTGTCCACAAGTTCCGGCGGTGCAGATTTCTTTTATTCATTGTGTTTTCTATGTCAAAAGACTATTCTACCCTTGTACCTTGATGCAAGAAACTACCTTTCTGTCCACCATCTTATTTTAATCCAATTTTTGAAAAGTTATTGTAGATAAAATACTTAAAATGAGAGCCGTTTAAACTAATTTAGAATTTAGCTTGGTTGTTAATTGTTAATTGAACACTGTAAATTTTAAATTATAGTTTTTATTTATACAAAGATGATTTATAAAACTAGATGTTAGATTTTAAATATATAAAATTAGTTAAAAACTAAAAACTAAATGCCCTTTGAAAAGTTAAAACCTAAAAAAAAAAAAAAAATACTTGAATTAGCTTTTGTATAAAATTACTTGAATCCAAGTTTTAGCTTAAAAGTTAAAATGCTTCGAGTTCAAGTCTTGCCAACAAAAATGAAGGGATTTCTTCAAGTTTTAGTTTCTCTAATATCATGAAATTTATTATTAGTAAGTTGGTTTAATATTTTTAATGAATTGTAGAGTATTTGATTTACTTTTCATAAAATTAGTTATGGATATTTAATGAGTGTCGGTCAGTATTGTCGGGATTTGATATTTTGTAGTTTGAGATGAAATTTAAATTTTTTATTCACTAAACTCGTTATATTTTATATATACCACATTCATTAGAGATAGAATACAACTCAAGTAATTAGTTATGAACTTCTTAAGATAAAACAACAATATACATAAATAACCATGAGAGACAGAGAAACCATTTGTTTACATATCCTAGTTGATATGTAGTAGTCATACTTGAAAAAAAAAGTACTTGTCTCTTGTGCAACATTTATAGTTAACATGATACCAAAACATTATTTCCGTTTATATGTTATTTTCTGTTGCTATAAAAAAGATCCTTTAACATTTTTGTCAAATATATTCGATTTTATGGAAATGTCTTTTATGTACTGCCAAATATCACTACGAAATACCAATCAATTCAACATAATAGTGACTTTCAAAAAAGTAAAATAAAATATAGTTTTCTAATTTATGCATCACTCTTATAGTTTAAATATGATTTATCTTTTATTTTTAAATTTTAATTTGATAAATATAATTCTGTTATAATTTATATCAATTTAATTTTGTTGGAGTTTTACTATACTTAATTGTTTAAACCAACGGATAACCTTAAAATCCAAATGTTTTAATTAATTCTCCTTAATACTTTTTATTATCTAAACTTTTTCTGACTTATGTTTTGGATTTTAGTTATTTGAAATAAAAATTCAAAAAGTTACATTCCATCTTGTATGGCATACGTAGACTTTTTTTTTTTTTTTTTTTTTTTTTTTTTTATAGATGTGGATTTAACAATAAATTTATTTTGAAACATGTTTTGTTTTATTTCTTTTATTTTCAGTTATCATTCTTATTAATAATTTAATATTATGAAACACGTCATTTACTTCGTTTTCCATTTTTATGAAATGCAATTTAATATAGTGGCATTTTTGTTATTTTAAGTGGAAACGAGGGTATTTTCAACAGTAGAAAGCAAGTTGCCCTTTTTTGCTGTTGGTTTAACATCCCATCGTCTTGCCTTTTTTTCCTCCTTTTATTACGTTACCAGGGCCTTTGAGTGTTCTCTGGAAAGAGAGAGAGAGAGAAAGAGTTTTTAGAGAGAGAAAAATTAAGATCTGCGTTTGTGTTTGTTGAAGAAGATGAAGTCCTGCGAACTTTGCAAATCTACGGCTAGGATCTATTGCGAATCTGATCAGGCTAGCTTGTGCTGGAGCTGCGATTCTAAGGTCCATTCCGCGAACTTCCTTGTAGCAAGGCATTCACGGAGCCTTCTTTGCCGCGTGTGCCAGTCTCCGACACCGTGGACTGCTTCCGGCGAGAAGCTTGGGCCGTCGACTGCGTCGGTTTGTGAGAAGTGTGTCGTTGACGCTACTTCTGATGACGATGAAGACAGAGAAGAGAGTCAGGGAGGAAATAATGATGATGACGATGAGTACGACGGAGATGAAGACGAAGAAAATGAGCTTGACATGGAAGATGAGGACGGAGATGACTTTCAGGTGGTGCCGTTGTCTTCTACACCGCCTCCGGCAGCGAGTTCCTCCAGCAGTGAAGAATTTTCTAACAGCGATAGAGGCATTTTAGTTAAGCGAAAACGCGAGAATGTAGCAGATCTTTCCTCAGAGGTATTTGAATTTCTTTCATTCCCTTTTTTCTCCGCAATTTTTACATAAATATGATCTTACGCGTCATTTGACTTTACAGTTCATATTATGAACCGATGAAGTATAATTAATTCAACAGACTCAACTAGTTGCAAATAATCGACATGATTGTGATTGTTGTATTAATTTGGATGCTAATATGTCGTTTTTTTGAAATCAGGATGATGTCGATTGCTCATCGGTTCAGAAAAACCACCGTGCGGCGGAGGGTAACAGAGCGACATTGCATCAATTTTTCCCTTCGAGTTCGGAGGCGATCGTTGAGAGACTTAAGAATTTCCGGCACCGGGACAAGATCTCCGGCAAGAACAAGCCTGGACCGGCCGTTGACGTCAGTAAAGCAACGAGAGCCGTCGGATTAGACCTAAACGCATCCGCATCAGCTTCTGGTTGGCCATAGTTGTAGTGTAGGTAGAACCCTAATTAAGTAAATGCTATTATTGGCTAACAAGTAACAATACATCCCCACAAATTAGTTTCGATCAGATGGACATAACCATGGTTTTATTTAGGTTATCAGTAGTGATTGATTGAACAAATTTCTTGATTACGATTTGTATTTTTTTTCTTTTTTTTTTTCTTTTTTTTTTTTTTTTACTTTGGAAGTTGTAAACGAGGTTTCCGTTGTCAAATGTTGAATCTTTCGTGCTTAACCTTGACCTGTTGGAATTTTTTTGTTCTTTGTCTTATCGTCTATTGCATCTAATCCTCTTGACGTGTTTGATTTCTGTGATATATTTGACCAAAATCATGGACTAATTTTTCTTTAAATCATAGTACCTCTTAACTTATTTATGTATTCATGATTTAATATGTTAAAGCCAAAATGTTTGGCTCAATAGATTAAGGGCTGTTTGAAAGTTGATACTTGACTCAGATTGAGTCGATTTGAGTCAATGTCGGACTTAATTAGGATCATAACTCATAACTATACCTTAAAAGCTTTTGATTTGTGGGGGTTAATTGGTTGGAAGTTGACTAGTTTTAATATTAAAATAATGTTATTATTTATGGCTAATGCCATAAAAACTCTTTAAAGTGCCTGAAATTGTTGGATTTACCCAAAGTTCAATTTATGTTCGCTTTTGTCTCAAACTTGCATTAAATTGTTCGTTTTTGCCTATTCACCGGTTTCCCTTTAAACAACCGGTTACCACTTGCTTACTTGGAAGATATGTGACATTTATCCTTTAACGACTTATTCAAACACATCTCCATTTGATCCATTCAACCCTCAAAGTTAGTCGCACAGCTACTTCCTTCTCCAAAGGTAAAATGACAACTTCGTCTTCAAAATCATGCATTAGTTCAAGAAGGAGGAACAAGAAGGTAATAAGATGCTTCTTCCTTCTCCAAAGGTAAAATGACAACTTCGTCTTCAAAATCATGCATTAGTGGTGGTTCAAGAAGGAGGAACAAGAAGGTAATAAGATGTGACTGAGGTAATGTTTGTGGTGTATCAGTCTCACGAACCCCTAATAACCTCGGACGAAAATTTTGGGGTTGCCTTAATTATTGGGTAAAAACCTCTATATTTTTATATTAATTTCTCCCTAAAATTTTTGGGCTGCTCTAATTTTCCAAAGAGGAACATATGTAATAGAACGCTAAATTTATTTTGTATTGTAGGTGGAAGGAGGCAAGTGAGGTGTTTTTCAAATGGGTGGATGAATAACTCGGTCAAGAAATGATGATGTTTCATATAGAGCAGATCAAGCCATTGTTAGAAGTGATAATAAGGTTGTTAGTGCTTATATTTGTAATGTATTAATGGTAGTTAATTGTTATTTCATGTATATGTTGCACTTGTTTTCTTTATTTACTTGTTAATGGTATGATATTAGAGGTAAAGTACACTTGGTTACATTCATAGTGAAAGTAGACTTTGCAGGAATGGAATTTAAGGATAATTTGCATAAAAGGAATTACACTAATGAAAGTACATTGTTAATGCTTATAAAGTAACAAAATGTAAGGGTAAATTGGTCTCAGTAATGGTAATCAATTATAACAACATACCTACCAAAAGCCTTAAAATCCATAAGAAAATAAAATAAAAACACCATGGTTACCATAATTTGGGGGCATCCATTATAAACCTTAATAAAAGTCATTCGTTACATAAGTTTTTCTAGCATGTAGTAGCCATCTATTTTGTATACCAAAACATGTACCCAAAAGCCTAAAAAATAACCAAAAAAGGCAAGCCATAATGTAACACTAAACAAATGGATGTATGTTGTAAGTAGTGGGTGTATGCCAAAACATGTACCAAAAAGGGCTACCTATACAATTGCTCAACTGTACCATCCCCACTTTTGCCCCCGTACACCTAGCTAACCACTCCAAATCTACTGGATAGTTAGATGTGGAACCCCTTCCATCTTTGTCAAAAAAAGGTTTCTTCAGCTTTTGCAGGATGATCCTTTTTTAGGGCTTTCTTGTCTTTCTGAGTTGTACATGCCCTTCATCATCAACATCATTTCCCTCCATATCTGCTCCATCATCCTCACTATTACCATCACCCTCACCTTCATCCTCAACATCACCATTACCCTCTCTATCATCCTCACCAACACCATCACCATCATCCTCACCAGCTACTTCACCAACTCCACCACCCTCGTTTTCCTCCACACCATCATTTATAAGACCATCACCCTCATTTCCTTCCATCACACCATCAACATACGGAATATCCTCAACTTCATTTATATCTTGTTAATCAAAATTTGAAAAATACTTATTAATAAAGGATATAAACAGTTTTATACTAATGATTAGAACTTAGAAAATGCTGAAGTCAAACTAACCATCTCAACCAATAACATATCATCCAATTCATGTTGTACCCCTCTCATGCTCTCTATTTCAGCTATGCTATATCTTGCCCCAAATAGGTCTGTTACACTTTCTAGATCCAGCTTCACCATCTCTGGGATAAAACCACTTTCATTTCCTTCAGTGAATTCAGGTTTAAGATTTGTAGCACCTGGTTTCTGGTATGTAAATCTTATCTGAATATTCCTATTTTAGCCTTGGACTCGGCGAGTCATAGGTCCGACTCGCCGAGTAGGGACGTGACCCAGGACACGTTTTAAGTTGACGACTCGGCGAGTCCATATCCTGGACTCGGCGAGTCGCCGCTGTTGGATGAAACCCTAAGTTTCAGGGGTTTGCACCCTATTTAAACGACTTAACTGCCCCAAGCCAGCCCCCATTCACCCTTAGAGCCCTGTATCCCCCGTTCTAAGCTGTTCCTTGAGAGTTGGAGGCTATTGTGTGTGTTTTTGAAGGTTTTGAAGGAGGAAGGAAGTAGATCCAGAAGAAGGGAAGCCATCCAGGCAATTATTGTGTTCTTCCAGCAGTTCCTTTGAGGTATAACCCGTTTTCCCCATGATTCTATGCTTAAAACTTCATTTGGGTCTTTCTTGGTCAAATCCCCAAGCTTGTATGTGGATTATATGTCGTAATAAGATGTTTGGCCTCTGGATCTAGGAAAGATTGAGCTCCAGGAGCTCAGATCTGTTAGCTTTATGGCCCCATGTTGCTTGTTAGCCCTAGATCTACCCTTTTAAGGCATTTTGAGCCCTAAAATCCATATTGGTGAATATCCACACGTAAAGTTGGAAACTTTACGTGTGATTTGTGTCCTAGAAATCCATATCTATGAATGCCATGGAGTGGAATCGAGCAAATCCGTGTATTTAGTGGGTGCATGGCAACGACTCGGCGAGTCTGTTCGCGAGTCTTCGAGTTTGTCCCCTTTTCGTAATGTCGAGTGAGCAGTGAGTCACGGGGTGTGACTCAGTGAGTCGGAAGCTTAACCCATCTATGGAGGTACTCGGCGAGTCAATGCCCTGACTCGGCGAGTTCAAGGCAATCTCCTTAGATCAAGAACAGACTCGGGGAGTTGTTCATACAACTCGGCGAGTCTAAGCATGAGTGTTCATCGGATGAAGATGAACTCGACGAGTGTTCATACAACTCGGCGAGTAGGACGAAGAACTTTAATGTCAGTTTAGAAGAAGAACTCGTCGAGTCATAGCCTAACTCGACGAGTAGAATCAGGGACCCAGGACAATCGTCTGGACAGGGACTCGGCGAGTTGGAGAGCCAACTCGGCGAGTCGGGTCAACTGAAAGTTGACTCTGATTTGACTTAGGGCTAGACCAGGGGTAAAATGGTCTTTTCACCCAAAGGACGGTTAGCAGTGTGTGATTAAGTATATTGTGGGAATTACAGCCGGGGGGTTTCCGGAGCAGCAACAGCAGTAGTAGGTGATCAATTCCCACACAGACCAGCAGCTATTTCGAGGTGAGTTTTCTTTCCAGTAGGAACGGGTCTAAGGCACCAAGGCCGACCCGTGTAGACGAGATGCTAGTACTAGAGTGTGGGCCGGGCCCGTATCTCTGGGTTAGGTCAAGTATGATATGTGTGTTAATATGATAGAGTTGCTTATACTTGTTATCTGCATGATACCTGTATGTTATGGGTTAGCGGCTGAGTGTGGGCAGGGCCCGTATCTCTCCGAGGTTGGAGTGTGGGCTAGGCCCGTATCTCCCTGACCGCAAAGTGTGGGCAGGGCCCGTATCTTCACAAGTGTGGGTGAGGCCCGTATCTCCGGGCTAGCGAAGTGTGGGCAGAGCCCGTATCTTCCCGAGTGTGGGCAAGGCCCGTAACTCCTAGCTGAACATTGTTTGTTATATGTATGCATGGTATGGGGTATTATGGGGGAACTCACTAAGCTTTGTGCTTACAGTTTCAGTTTTGGTTTCAGGTACCTCCTCAGCTAGGGGAAAGGAGCCGGCGCGGTAGCAGCATGTCACACACACACTCTCCGGTTTCCGTATTTACGAGCTTTTCTGGGATTGATACTCTGATATTCTGATTGGTTGTATGTTGTGGTTTTCAGATATGGTTCAGTTTATATTATGATTGATCAAACGATGTTTTAGTTATTAATATTTTCTAAAGTAACGTTTTTAAACAAAAAAATTTTGTATGTGAAAATTGGGTCGTTACAAGTTGGTATCAGAGCCCTGGTTTGAGGGATTCGGACACATCTTCGGGAGTGTCTGAACTCAAATCGAGGGATTAAAAGATTTTCTAAAAGAAAATGTTTTCTAAAATTGAGAAAAGAGTTTTGAGAAAGAACGATGTGTGTGATGTGCGCGACCGGCCGAGGTCAAGTAAGTATTCCCCAAAGTACCCATACAAGTTTATGTTGTGTTTATCAGCTTTCGTAGAACAGCATACTAGAATAGGACTAAGGATTTAGGAGTGATGCCTTATGTGCCTACTATTTGTGTTTCAGTTGTATGAGAAATTGCATGCTAGTTATTGAGTAGACAGTAAGTAGGATAGCATGATTAGGTTATGCCTGGTAGTATGAGCTTAGCACTATATGCTAGCTCAGTTCCTGAAAGTGGATAAAGTTAATTGAGATTGTTACCCTTGTCTGAATGCTGCTTGCTTCGTGCTTCATGGGACTCTGAATAATGGGAGTTAGCCATTAGGTGAATGCGTCACGTCACATGTAATCAGGGTTGAATAATCTTAGAGTGCCGAATTT